AACAGCTCGGGATGAGTGAACAGGAGATTAGTGGCGTAATGGAGATTGTGGCAGCTGTGCTTCATATGGGCAACGTAGACTTTGAACAAGTGCCCCACAAGCGTGAAGACAATGTCTTTGTTGACGAAGCACGGGTCAAAACCTCGAGGACTGGATTGTGCGACCACTTTACGAAGGTTGCAGAGTTGCTGGGAGTATCCACAGATGCCTTGGACCATGCGCTTACCAAGCGCTCGTTGCACGCTTCCAATGAAGTTTTGGTCGTTGGAGTGGACGTTACTCAGGCACGAAATACTTGTAATGCATTAACCATGGAGTGTTACAGGCTTTTGTTTGAGTGGCTTGTGGCTCGAATTAATATTAAATTACAACGACACGGTAGTGTAGAATGGGATGCCGATGCGGACGAAACGGACGACGAGGAGGAGGCGACGGATTTTATCGGTCTACTTGACATTTTCGGCTTTGAAAATATGGCAGAAAACTCGTTTGAGCAGCTGTGCATCAACTATGCTAACGAAGCCTTGCAACACCAATTCAACCAGTATGTTTTTGAAGAGGAACAGCGACTATACCGTGCGGAAGCGATCCGCTGGAACTTTGTCGACTTTCCCGACAATAGCGCATGTCTCGAACTATTTGAGCAACGGCCGATTGGTATATTCTCATTGACAGATCAGGAGTGTGTATTTCCTCAAGGCACAGATCGTGCTCTTGTAGCTAAGTTCTATTTAGAATTTGAGACGAAGAAAATTCACCCACGATTCCGCTCAGCTCCAAAGTTTCACCGGACGACGCAATTCATTGTGGCACATTACGCCGGATCTGTGATATATAGTATCGAAGGGTTTCTTGCAAAAAACAAGGATTCTTTTTGCGAGAGTGCAGCTCAGTTGCTGGCAGGATCGATGAATCCTTTTGTTCAAGCTCTTGCTGCGAGATCATCAAACGGGGATGGTTTTAATGGGGAGAGTGAGCTTGATGGTGGCCGAAATCGTCGACGTGCAAAGTCAGCCATCGCAGCTATAAGCGTGGGTACACAATTTAAGATTCAGCTGAATGAGCTACTAAACACTGTCCGTGCCACGACCCCTCGATATGTGCGCTGCATTAAGCCTAACGACTTACATGTTGGCTCGCTGTTTCAAAGCACTCGTGTTGTTGAACAGCTACGCAGTGGTGGAGTGCTTGAAGCTGTGAGAGTGGCGCGTGCTGGGTTTCCAGTTCGACTTTCGCACAAACAGTTTCTCGAGCGCTATCGTCGGATACTGCTTTGGCTTTACGAGCTTAAGAACAATGGTATTGATAAGAAAAAACACAGGAATTGGAGCGAGCTTGACTTGTGCCTACACCAACTTATCAGATTTCTTCTTACGGACAGCAAGTCGGAAACAGGTGAGGATGGGGCTGAGGGAGATCAAGAAAATGAGCAAAATCGCTGTGGCGTCAGTCTTGGGAAAACGCGCGTCTTCTTTCGCCGAACACCATACGAAAAGCTGGAAAACTTGCGCATTTCAGTACGCCAGGAGTCGAGTCTGGTCATACAGCGACAACTTAAAGGATTTGTAGCCCGCTGCAACTATAGACGTCTGCGCCAGTTCACGATTGTCGTCCAAACGTGGGTACGGGGGCGTCGTGCTTATCGATACGTGAACTGGATGCGTGCCATGCGGCAAGCTCAAGTCCTTCAAGCAAGAATGCGTCAGCTCTGTGCTCGTAGTAAATTCCTCCGCGCTCGTGCTGGAGTACTTGCGGTGCAGTGTCGTTTCCGATGTCGTCTTGCATCACGTGTTCTTCAGGCACTTCGAGAATGTCGCGCAGTGACACAAATTGCTACAGCATGGCGTCGATTTTCTGCTGAACATAAGTACAGTAAGCTCTGCAGCGCAACGCTGGCGCTTCAGTGCGCTGTACGTGCGCACACAGCGAGGAAGACGCTTAAGCTGCTGCGTAACGAAAGCAGAGATTTGGCGAAGCTCAAGGAAGACAACGCTCAGCTCAAGGATGAGCTAGCTGAACTACGCCGACAAATGCAAGTCTTGGTGGCACATAGTTCAAGTAAGGAACGGCAACAGGCATCATACTCTAATTTCAAGTTTTTTGAAAAATCCCCACAAAATGCCCCTTTTCCTTCGAACGAGACTCCTGCTGAATTCGACAACAACAAATGTATAACCCAGCTAAAGCTTGAGCTTTCGGACGATCTTGTTACAGTTGACACTGGTGGAAATCCTAACGCAGCCAATGGGAGTGATTTCGGCTGTGTGGTTGACTTACCCTACAGCCACCATAAATTGGAGCAGCAGACACCCACTTTACGCCGAGGTCGCCGCTACAGTTTGCCACCTGCTCTTGCACCAGCAAATGAGGACGCAGAGGTTGAACATGCAACGCCTCCTGCTCCGCCTCGTGCATTCCGACCCCATGACCGGCGCTACAGCTTAGAGTTGTGGTGGCGTCAGGAGGCGGAGGCTCAGAAAGAGGCGACACAATTGCGTGAAGTAATTCGAGAGGCGGCTGCTGATGTATTCTCACCGGAACGTCAGCAGCAACAAGAGCTTGCGCTTCAACAGCTGGTGGCTTCTCAGATAAAGCGCAAAACTATGCAACTGCAGTTACAGCTGCCTGCGTTTGAGCTTGGGGCTAACAACAAAGATATCGACTCTGGTCCAGCTTCGAGCATTTGCAGCCGGCGCCGATCACGTACAGCCGATTTCCTTCAGGGTCCCGCGCCTTTGACTTCGTGTGGACGCCAAAGTCGTTCGCGTTGGAACTTTGCAGCACCCCACAGCATGACGCACGGTGGTAATTGTCGTATGCCGGCATACTTTGATAATCCAAGTTACGCTGGCTCATCATACGGTGACGATCATTCTGTGGATGGTGGAGATGAAATATACAGTAGATCCCATCAAGTGCCAAGACGCTCAGCATCTGTTGGTGTGTGCCGTGTCCGGTCTTCGTCCAATGCTTCGTCGTTTAATATGCCACCAAGCTCAAATATTCGTCCTGGTGTTGTTATTCCTCGATTTGCTAAGTCGCCGACGTGTTACGAGTGTGACTGCAAATTTAGCTTTCTATTGCGACGCCACCACTGTCGACAATGCGGAAACTCGTTCTGCTTTGAGCATTCGACACGTCAGCTCGCGCTGCCTCATTTGGGATACATGACGGCCCAGCGCGTGTGTGATTCCTGTTTTGAAGCTCACATTCATATTATGACGTCGCTTAAATTGCCGTCATTGATGCGTAATGCAACCGATGAGCTGTCGACTTCTTCATTCGCGAGCTCGCCGCGAGGCCTTGACAGCTACTGCGGGTTCGATAGTCCAACCACTACAGCTGCTCGGGTAGCACCGCTGCGAACATAATCCACTATTTGTTGATAAGAATTTGAAGGTAATGCAATCTCGAAATATTTTATGTTTGCAAACACAACTTAAATTTTGAGCTGTTCCGCTTAAATTTTCGATTTTGACATATCTTTTGGCTTTAGTGGCGCAAAAGTCATTCGGTGGATCTTGCACGGTCCATGCTTGGCAATTGCTGCCACGTGGGCTCGCGTTGGGTATCCTTTGTGCTGTGCTAATCCATACTGAGGATACTGATCGTCGTAGTTGCGCATTATACGATCTCGCGTAACCTTAGCAATTATGGAGGCTGCCGCGATACTGAACACTTTTGAATCACCTTTGACGACCGCTTCTGCTGGCAGGTCAAGAGTTGGCGGCAGTTTGTTACCATCGACAAGCACGAAAATGTTGTCTTTCTGTAGCAGCCGTTTCGTCACATCATTCACAGCCTTGGTCATAGCCTCCAGCGACGCTTGCAAAATGTTAATCTCGTCTATTCGTTGCGCGCTGTTTACGTGTACAGCGTAAGTGATACTTGGGTGGGTGGTGAGCAGCTCGAACAATGCCTCTCGTCGTTCCTGTAAAATTTTCTTGCTGTCGTCCACGCCCTCAATCACCACATCTAGCGGCACGTGACACGCTGCAGCCACAACTGGTCCAGCTAGCGGACCACGACCAGCTTCGTCCACGCCGATAACAGTTGAGTAACCTTTTGCTTTGTAGCGAGTCTCGAATTGACGAGAAAGCGTTCTAGGCGGCACAGCTAATTTATCGATCAGCGCTTTCTTTGGCTTTGGAATGCGTCGATCGCGTAATATTACGCCAATTGTGTTGTCGAGCTGCGCTTTCTTACTATTTAAACGCGCTGAGCGGCGAGGCGCAGTTGCTTTAACTGCACACTTCATTTTTTAGTTTACTAACCTAAAGCATTAGATTTATAGATCAGACCTTTATTAGAAAGAAACTAAGATATTGTAGATGCAGCTTTGACAGGGTTTCACTGATAAATTGTAATGTCTATCATGACACATGTCCACCTGACACTGTTGTCCCTCCGGCAAGTAGAGATAAAAATCATGGTATAAAAGTAAAGATTCCTGTTCGCTTGCCGCTCGACAGGGCACGAAGAAGTTGATGAACTTTGTCTACGAGTTGCGAACTGTTATTGCTGTGATGGCAGCCGATCCTCACCCAAAGGCGGCGGCAGTGACCGATTTTATGGAAACGTCTTCACTGGTGTGGCCAAAATGGAAGTCTTCCGTGTGGATCGGTCTTCTTTTGAAAAAGCGGTGAGCGCGGCATTAAATGCCGAATTCAACTTTAAGTTGGCACGTATCGAGCAGGCCTGAGCCAATGGATCTCAGCTATGCTGAGGACGAGGAGGGAGAGCTCCGAGCTGCCGAGCAGCGTTTAAACAACCGACGGTGTTTTTTTGTGGAGACACCCGTCACCTTCTGACTGGCTGTTTCCTGCGTGATGCGCACAAAGGCTCGTCGAGCCGACGTCTCGCTTCTTACCAGCGATGGGAGACAAGAATACCCAGGAGGCGTGGGCAGCCTACTGGGAAAGAACGAGTTTTGTTGTGCATCAAAGTGGTAGAGGGCAGCAGGGCCTAGCCCCGAAGAGCTCGGTGCAAGTTAGGACCATATCCATGGTATGGCATGTTTCGAACACCACGAGCCAAAGATTTATTGGAGGTCGAAGACCTTGGGTGCTACGCGTATGACTCCTGGTAGAGCTTTGGTGAGTCATATACTCACCTCTGCTAGGAAAAAGAATCGCTTTTGGCACGGGCGTTGAACCGGAACGGCCAATGTGCTAGATATTGAAGTATCCGAGCTGTCAAACTCCAAAGGTATTTTGGACAGGAGCTCCGAGCGTGGCTCGCGGGCTGAACGTGGAGTGTGGAACGTAACTCACTGAGCACCGCTCATGTTACGAAACAGTTGCTACATGCCAAGAGTGGCATGGTCGGACGAGATCCGAGACATCTAGGGCAAGGTCCTTCTTATGCACGTGGAGTGGTAGGTTATCCACTAGACGAAGACTGCAGAAATAGCAGCTCTTCGCCGGATGTTGTTAATATCATCAAGGCTCCGATGGAGTAGAGAGTGGAGACACTGGACGACGCTGAGTGCGTGTTCCCACCGGTCTCGATGAGACGTAAAACCTTTATAGAGAGGAGACGGCGAAGCCGTATGATATCAGCAAGACGCAGGGTGTCGACTCTGACCCAGGGTGTGCCTACCGTAGACGATAGCACACAGCTATATACCCATGTCAACGGTATGACGGAAGAGGAAGACGGCGACGTCACCCTCGAGGCTATTCCCGCGGTTGATGCTTTTCTCGAGCTGAACGACATGCCCTTCGAAGAGCTTGGCAGTGCCTTGATGGCAGGCATTTTAGCCGAGGTGGTCATTCTCAGACCGAACAGTAGATTGCCTCGCTGTCGCTTCTGGATGAAGCTGTCCTGAAGGGCACTAAGAAAGTGCTGAGCGCACAAAGTGGATCGTCGATCTTGAAGGATCCCTCGGATCCTACTGTCCTTTGGTGACGGAATTTCAAGACGTCGTCTCCAAAGACCCGCCGCCAGACATACCTCCGGACCGAAGTGTGCGTCACGAGATTGACCTGGTTCCGGGAACCAAATACTGCTTAACATGCCAATCGCTCCTGCCCAAGGAGCAGTGTGACGTTATTGACGTCTTTTCAATGCAAAACACGAGGCAGGAATGGTGCGTGAGAGCAT